CGAAAGAGCACCTGGAGAGAGCTCTCTGATTGATAGGAATGGAAGAACCCTTAAGGTAAGAAAAGGAAGTGTTGATGACTCCCCCTCCCCCCCTTTTTTCAATTAAAATTTTGGTTGGTGACAAGAATGATAGGCATGTATTATTAAGAGTTTTATATTGTTTTGTCACACTGCTTGTGATTTTATTTTTATTAATATGTTGTGTATTCTTTCTCTTGGTAGATGGAACCATTAGCCACAGTTGAGCAACTTGAGCGATACCTTCTCAAAATGGTTGCAAAGCAGTGGTATGATTTTGATAGAGCCTCCTTTGCTTTTGTCCGCAAACTGAAGGAGGGCCAGAAACTCACATTTAAATGCAACAGAGATTTTGATGAGAATGGCATTATTTATTGGATTGGAACAAATGCAAAGTAAGTTATGAGCAGCTTCATTTCATTGGTAAAGATGAAGATCATTATAGAATGTGTCAAGATTGCGAGATTCCTTAATATTCCTCAGATTTCTTAATATTCATCACTTTGTATTGGGTGGAACATGGAAGTTTAAAATCCTATCATGTTCTAGGACTGCATACGAATGGGTCAATCCAGCTTCTGTTGGCCTAGTGGTAGTGACATCTAGTGAGGGGCGTAATCTTCCCTATGGGCGTCTAGAAGACATACTTAGCCGTGACCCGTCAGCCCTGAACTGCCACACCAATGACGATAAGCGAGCCTGGTTTGCTATTGATCTCGGCGTGTGGTTTGTGCCGTCAGCTTATACTCTCCGACATGCAAGAGGTTATGGCAGATCGGCCCTTCGTAATTGGATGTTCCAGGTAAGGTGGAATAAGGACAGTAGGATTAGGAACATGTTTTTGACTTCAACTTGATTATTTTGTTGTTTATATATCCGTATTCTTTGTTGTGGATTAAACCCAAGGGTACATAATTCCGTATATTCAAAGTAGATATGAATGCCCGTCATTTACAGAAAACCTTTGATATCAGAATTTAGTATTTCGTTTAAATAAAGTGGTTAGAGAGAAAAGAATGATAATGTGATTAGAAGTTTTTGCATTATCTTGTGAGAATGAAATGATCTGAGTTGCAAGATTTCTTTTCAGGTTTCTAAAGATGGCATGACTTGGACAACCTTGTACACTCATGTGGATGACTGCTCGCTCAATGAGCCAGGCAGCACTCACACATGGTTCATTCAGCCACAACAAGATGAAAAGGTATGTTAGAAAAGTACAGTACAGAATATTGGACCATTATTTGTTATGCTGATAGATGGATTATGGTGGTGGTATGTAATTGATTTATGTTAAATATATATTAATTATTTTCAGGTTGATTTAGTTATAGATATCTTGTGTTTTACTTACATCATGTAAAAACAAATTTTCTTGTGTCATCCTTTGCAGACTGGATGGAGACATGTACGTATTCAGCAAACAGGTAAAAATGCATCTGGTCAGACCCATTACCTCTCTCTCTCTGGGCTTGAGCTCTATGGCACTGTCACAGGTGTCTGTGAAGACCTTGGCAGAGCAGCCAAGGAAGCCGAGGCAAATTTACGAAGGCAGAGGAGACTGGTTAAATCACAGGTGAGTGTTTTATTTGTGGTAATTTTGAAGATCATCTGTTGAGAATTGTTGTATTTTCCTGAATATTATACATACTTTACCAATTTACTTTAATTATGGTGAAGAATGAGTATCTTATGAGCTGCCTTTTCTGGCAGATGGTGAAGCACATGGTAGTTGGAGCACGTGTAGTACGTGGACTAGACTGGAAGTGGCGTGACCAGGACGGCAACCCCCCAAGTGAAGGAACCATCACAGGCGAACTTCATAATGGTAATCCCATAAAGTTTGTTTAAATGTCATGAAATTTCAGAACTTATCTTTACAGATAACACGATATCACGACATTTTCTTCTTCATCAGACATTTTAAAACTAATCTCACACGAAAATATTCCAATTCAGGTTGGATTGATGTCACCTGGGATCACGGAGCCTCCAACAGCTACCGCATGGGTGCAGAGGGCAAGTATGATCTCAAGCTGGCCCCTGGCTACGATCCCGAGTCTCCCCAGGTGTCCATTGTGTCCACAGGCATCAGTAGCTCATCCAGCAACACCTCCACCACCTCTGCACCTGCTTCGTCAATACCCACAATCACCACAGCCATAAAGACCACCAAGGTAATGAGGAAAGGCATCCAGCTTGCTTGGATTTGGTTTGCCTCGGATGAGTCTTGTTTTAACGATTTTAGATGCATTTGGATAGTGGGTACTTTTATCCATTCACTCCAGGTTAAAGTTTGGGTAAAGTTTGGCAAGCCTGGGGTGCATTAGGGCTCACTGCTCTGTACCTGAGTAATTGTCCAACACCATAAAGTGATAAGATTCCAACCTTTGTGAATGAGTTAAAAGTAGAGGGATTTTGCAACCAAAGTGCAGAGGTTCAGCATCCTCCTCTTATTTAACCAAATTGATTAGAGATTTTGTCATTGCTGTTGGAGAGAACTGAAAATAAACAAAATTATATTGAATCTTTGACATCCAGTTTTTAGTTTATGTATTATTATTTTTTCTCAGACCCATAGTAGAACTGTTTATGAGAAAAATTAAAGTTTTGTGATTAGAATAGATGAAGAAATAAAAGGGTTTGAGTAGGCGTCATTATTTTTTATTTGTAATTTGTGTTTATATATACTTTTAGAACAATTAGGTCAGTGTTAAAATTGGCAGTATAAATTTGTTGTGTACAAGATATAAAATTATATCAGTATACAAATCTATTTCTAGGTACATTATACTCCCTAATTTGTTTTTCCTTACCAAGATAATTGCTCATTAACATATCTTTCTAAAAGTATTATGAGAACTGTAAGTATGTGAATTAAATTCATTCTGTTATACCAAATTAGTAATTACAGATGTAGTAGCAACTCACTAAGCACTTCATAGATACACATATCTGATTGGGAATGATGAACATACAGCTTACATAATATTAATATTTAGAAATATAAAATGTTTTTTTTCAGCAATTCAGTTTCTCCACCCCAAAAATGCTACATTTCAAACAGATGTTTATGAGTATTAGTTAATTAGAGTATCAAAATTGACTATTCAATTTAATTTGACTAGCAGTTGTAATGAGTTCGTCGCCTATAACCCAACCCTCAGGTCCTTTTGTAAAATTCTTTCCCTTTTGAGCTTTGCAATAAGTAACTTATTTTTTTTGTTTCATGACAGGTGGTAAGCACAGAAGTCAGCCAAGGTACAAGTGTACTCACAAGTCGCAAGTGTAGCTCGACACCTTCACTACCTCAGGCAACCACAGACACACACAAACACTCTGTGGCTGCATCCGAGCAGGCAGCATCTGATGACAATCTCACTGCAAAGGTAGCATTCAGATTATTAGTAATACCTTATGTTCATTGTTTAGTACTGGTTGTTCATGCATTTTTTCTCAATATCTTTGAATGATACCATATTTTTGTTTTTGAAAATGATTGATAATCCCATATATCACAAATCAATATTTCCTTAAACATCTGGTTATCTAAATTCTCCAGGCTGCTGAGACAGTTGCAGAAAATGTGCTGAGTGTGGCCAGTGCTGAAGCTCTACTGAGTGTGGAAGGCAGTGGGCGGGACAAAGGCTCAGAATTAGCCACCCTAGTACAGTCACTCAGCCTGCATGACCGTGACCTCACCTCTGATTTCTCCGATGCCATGTCCTCTTTGGAGTCTGTGCTCAATACCTCTGATATCAAATCTGGTACGGGTGATATGAGTGAGGCCATGACTGTTATGGATGTGGGGCTTCACCCAACTGCAGACAGCAGCAAATCAGGCCACTTAGCCCAAGCAGGAGAATGCCCGGCTGTGACTGTCAATGAAGAAAAGCTCGGTGAGCTGGGCAACCTAGGGATCAGTGGCAGCGTGAGCAGCAGCAGCAGCAGCATTGGTGGTGTCAGCAGCAGCAGCAGGAAGCGATGTGGGGGTGTTGTGACGGGTGAGGGTAAGAGGGACTGCACTGGGCGCTCCGCCATGTCCTCACAGCCTATGAGTGTTAGTGTGCCCAACCTGACCAGTGCTGATTCTGAACCATTGACACACAGTCTGCTGGAGACCTTTGCCCAGGTGGCCAGGCGGCGGGGGGGATCAGCTACCATGCCACCCGGCTCTGGGATCTGTGGCAGTGGGGGGGTGGCACCCCATGCTCCCAATGTGCCTGCTAGTGTCACTAATATGCGCACAGGTTTAGGTCAGCTGATAGGTGGGCCACCCCCGACCCTGGCTCATCCAGTGTTCTCGCCCTCCACCCACTCCATGTCCAGTCTGGTCCGTCTGGCCCTCTCCTCACACTTCCACCTCCCAGGTTAGCTAAACTGTACACTTCTCCACAATCCTGAACACATGAAGTGAGGACCAAAAGTCAAACAGGAGTATTAAGAAGAGTGATCTTGCGTTGTAAGATCGTTTCTGTTTTTGTTTTTACTACTTTTTGCAGAGAAACACAACCAGACATTATCATATACTGAGGCACACAATACATGCCAGTGTTTTGAAAGATATGGGGGTGAAATGTAAGGGACATGAGATAATGAGAGGGTATGTGTTTATTAATTGTATTATTTATTCAAATTTACATTTATAATATTAGTATCATAAGGTTTGCATTAATGGACTACAGTCATATGGTTGTAGTACATTGATATTAACATATTGATACTTATGTTATACATGAAAGTTTAAAATAATAAAACATTTAATAAAGTGAGTGAGTGAGAGAGAGAAAACAGAGTGAGTGCGTGAGTGAGTGCGTGAGTGAGTGCGTGAGTGAGTGAGTGAGTGAGTGAGTATGTGTTCACATGTATACAAACACATACATGTGAACACACTCAAGCTAACACACATACAAAGACCATTATGAAAACACACATGTGAAAACACGCGGAAATGCACATATGAAAACACACATACTTGAACAATCACATGCCAGTGCACACATAAGAATGCACACATGAAAACACACATACTTGAACAATCACATGCCAGTGCACACATAAGAATGCACACATGCAAACACACAAAAGTGAATGAAACACACACATATGCATGCACACAGACACACACACACACACACACACACACACACACACACACACACACACACACACACACACACACACACACACACACACACACACACACACACACACACACACACACACACACACACACACACACACACACACACACACTCACACTCACACTCACACTCACACTCACACTCACACTCACACTCACACTCACACTCAAATACAAATCACAGATACATACTCACATTGTCACTCCGTGTCAATATATGATACATTATTGATAAATAAATACTTCAGCTTTTACAAGGCCAGATGTTGCTTTGCATCTGTTGCTAATTTATATGATGATAGCTCCTCACTCCTGTTGTTCGGGTAAATTCTTGTGCTCACCAGGTGCCAGTAACCTAGATATGATTTCCAGGATCAAAGGTTGTCCTTACCAGGCATCAGGTCCTTTCCCTTTTGTCATGGCAAAGGCTATACCTGCCTGGGCTTCACATTATGAGTTGTGGCACTGGTAAGACACGTGGTAACACACACCATCGAGCCTTCTGCAACACCCAACCTTACTATACATTTAGAGGTATGTGGATCATGCCACATTCAAAAAGTTGTCATTAACCAATGTTTGTACAGAGAGTGTACATTGATGGCTTCACTTGCCAGTCAAGATCTCATAACACTAGTTTTCAGTACAGTGTGGTTTGGTGTTTGACTAAGGTATTATTAAACGACAGATTATCTGCATATTGACCAGTATTTCATTGAACAGCAGTAAATGAGGTTAATCATTTAGTGATCATCTTTGTTTGTCAGAGTATGTGACTAACTTTTGTATTGTGAAAATGAATGGAAACTTATGAATTTGTGTAATGTCAGAAACTTTCTGGTCAGTAAGTAGTTCATCTGTCTTGCTTCTTTTATGCGGTAAAGGTTCTGCAGCTGATATTTATACATATATATCAGTAGGTGAGGGAACTAAGACAGCATTGTCACCCAAAATCTTCAGAAGTTGGTTCAAGTGAGCAAAATGTTTGTGCAATTTTACCTTTGTATGATAACTATTTAAGAAAAAAAAATCAGTATCTAATAAAATCACGGTGTTTGCTCACCTGAACCAAGTTCCATATAATCTGGCATTCCAAGGTTTTCTTTTGAAAGGTATATAGATACTCAGAAGCTGTGCATGCTGAAGCTACTGTGTAGAATGTAAGCTTACCCTTGTAAGGTGAAAGCTTACCTTGAGGTACAGGTGTGGGTTGCTTAGAGGAAAGAACTTCTGTGAACTTCTGGGATTTCCAGGAACTCTTGGTTCTCCTATGATAGCATGTGCTGCAATTTAGCCTGTTGTGTAAAGTGCATGAGGTAATGTTATACTGACACTAAGCAATTAACACAGTGATTGTGACCATGAAGCAAAAGAAAGCTGCCTATTGCTTTGGTCCTTTGTTGCATTAATGATTAGATTTGCTCCTAGGGATTAACCCTAATACTGAAAATAGTAATGCTTCAAACTAACACTTGTCTAAAAGGTAAAAGGCAAAAAAGAAAAAAAAAGAGGTGATGCTAGCTGACGTGTGGTAATATGATAACTTTTATAGGAGTGTAGATAGGGAATTTTATACTAGACAATGTGATTTTTGTGTGTGTATTTGTGTGTGTGTGCGTGTGTGTTTATATATATGTATGTGTGTGTGTGTGTTTATCTATAACATATTATATAGATTATTATACAGATTATGTATATGTATACACATATTTTTGTATGCATGAATGTGTACATGTTATATTCAGGCAGAATTATGTGCACAATACTCTGCGGAATAGATGTTGATAATCGCATAATTAAAGTTCATGTCAGAAGTCAGATTAGAGCTCACATATATTTGATTTTGATGGACAAAATATGGCACTTCTTTTTCTCAGGTATATTGGCACACTTGGTAAAACTGAAACATGGCAGTTGTACCTTCCAAAAAATGTCCAAACTACCCATGTTATCAGTATCCAAAATATTATTTGGTCCAAATACTTGTGTATTAAACTGTTGATGTGAGTAGTATATGTACTGTCTATTGTGGTTTTGTTTTATAAAATGTTTACACATAAATAGTATCACAAGTCAAGGAGTCGGTACTAGACACACCTGACCCCAGCAATTTACTCTGTTCAATGAAACTTTGGAAAGAGAATTTTGTCTATTTTACTGTTATCATTGTTAATAGTATTAGGTTAATTATAGTGACAATAATGTCATTAATAACAGTAGAAATAGTAATAGTAGTAAAAACCTTTTCCCAATATTTTAAAGACTGGTTGAATAGGTGAGATCAGACTGGCCTAGTGCTTAATTTCTTGGTGATTTAGTGCCTGTGAACTCATCTGTTCATATAAAATTAATCAAACAGAACCACAGTAGAAGGTGCATGTTCCTGGCGCCGGTGGGTTAAATGGAAAAATGTTTTTCCCGTCCTTTGAGCACATGAAGCTTTGAAATTTGCCATATTGTAGGGGTTAAAGCTGTAGTGGTATTTTTATTATTTTTTTATTATTATTTTTTATTTTTTTATTTTTATTTTTTTGAAAGGAATACAAGTTAAATGCTTGTTGTGCTCTTGATTATGAGTGGTAGATTGTTAATCAGACAGAATTTTCACACAAGGTTATATGATGTGTAGTATAGAATTTAAATTGTTCATGTGAGGTGAAGATTGAAAGTGAAGGATTTATGAGATAAAAAAAAAGTATGATATGAGGTAATAGTAGAGGAAATGAGAAATACATGAAGTGGGAGAAGTTACTTTGAACCGAAATTTACAGTTATTGGATATGATGAGATTTTTAGGCTGAATATAGACAGTAAAGTTTCCAAATTAGGAAACAAGAAATTTGAACATTGAAGTTTTTATGAGGACAGAACGAATGAAAAGGTGACATGGTTTAGATCTGTGTTGAGGCAAGTAAATACTAAGAACGTTTGAAATATTTGTCTGTGCAGTTCTCTTCCATTTAGCTGTAGTAAATTAGAAATGTAAGTAGTGTATATAAACCCAATATGTACAGCAGATAGTTTTGATCAGTATATTTGAAAAAAATAATTCTATTATAATCAGTTCATATAAAAAATACCTAAAAATAAGATGATGATGTAACAAAGAATTTCACATCACTGCTTCTAGTCAAAATATTTTGTGAAACATTAAAGCAGTATATTCTGATTCTTATTCGTAGAGGGAAAATGACTATAGTGCATGGTTGAGACACATGTGATTGCTTTGGTGGTGGGTGCATACATGTGTAACATTGGGTAAGTTTACACCGTTTAGGGTAGTTTAAACTAGAGAATGAAACTGGATTTTTCTCCTTTTTCCTTTTATGATGTGAATAATCCTTATTGAAATACAAGCCAGCTAAATTGCATTACTGTATTTAGTAAATGATATCAAAATCAATGTCTTACTTCCTGTATTTCTCAGATGAAATCAGGGTTGCATGGGCTTCTATTTCAATAGTAATAAGTTACTTCAAACTGACCAAAGCGGGAGTTGCCGTAATAATTTGAGTTTAATTTATTCTTGAGATTTTACTTAATATTATGATTTTTAGCTTCTAATCATGCCATTTGCTTTTGGAATTAACAAGAAAAGGTTAAATCACTTACAAGGTGAACTAACATTTACTGAATTTTGATAAGGACTGTTCCACAACATTATCACATGGTACTGTTTGCAACTAGTAATGATATTTTCTGTTCCTCATGATTTCCAGTCTGCTTAGTTATCTGCCTTTGAAAGTAGGTTTACACAGTTGAGACTACATTTTATTACACTGCCTGTGAGAGGAGGGATTAGAGGGGAGAGTTTTCAACTCATTATGGAGTATTTCTTTATATGTAAAAAGAGCAAGTCTCAAGGAATCCTTGTCTTAGATCAGACTATCTGAGGCAAAAATGCAGAGGGCTGAGACATGAACACCATGAGCTAGGGTCTCTGTGTGATGATTAGTTTAAGAAATGATAAAAGTTTACCAGTAGGAAAGGTTGGCCCCTTATAATCTCATGATATCTTCATGTGCTCTCATGTGGCACAGAATCTACAAAGTTTCAGAGATGTGAATAGTGTTTGTATTTGATTTTTTTTTTTTATTGCAATCCTATGCCTGCCTCTTTTCTAGTGAAAGGGGAGGAGTCATGCTTATCATTTTCAGATAAAAGGGCAGGTTTGTTTATGTGATTATTTCATTAGTAGTTCCTTATTTCATATTGTGAAACTTCCATTTCAGCAGTTTGATATATAAGAGCTGATAATTACCAATACTATAAATATTTAACCTTTGGAGTAGTGCCCTGATATCAATTATTGAAGTGTTCAGTCAGGTAACTGCATGACCTATCCTGCCTGAAGAGGATTCAGTAGGCTAAGAGTGGGTGCAGTCCCCTTCCCTTTTTGTATTTTTTTCACCATGTATAATGATTCAGGGAATTTTGACAAAGCTTGGTTATAATTTATTTTTCTTCTCTGAATTAGGATATTTGAGTCAGGTTTCAAGTTTTTCTTCACCATTTTATTTTTATAAGCAGGTTTACTCTAATTGAAAGTTTGAGGATAGCCATGTGAGCACACTAGCTCTCATACTCTGTAAATTCAAGTACTTGCTAATGGTCATATTTTATAATGAAGATTTTGAGTACATTGCAAAAAGAATTGTGTTCATGAATAGGTGGCTCGATTCATTTTAGTTTCATTTTTGTTTTGCTTGTTTTATATTTCTATCATTGTTAATTTTGTGACCACTTGTATTTTTTAATCCCTCAAGAATTAGATTTGAAGAGAGCTTATTTATAGTCTCTTAAAGGAAAAGCATTGGGGCACATCTGGAAATATGTGTG